TCTTGTAACTCCAAGGCAGAAAAATTTCTAATACAGGGTCAAAAGTAGCATACCATTGCATTTTATTCACTCCCAGAATAGGTGGACACATGTAAATGGCCTATTGGAAATGGCCCCAGGAATATCTTACTTGCTCAGTCATGAGCTTTTGGACTGCCTTTTCAGGCAACTTAGCCAGTCAACTCTGCTAGACACAATTTACAGGATGACTGAGGCCTGTTGCTTCTTTTCATCAACCTTCTTCTCCACCAGCTGCTGGAAGAATGAAATGCAGATAGCGGGTAAGTACAAACTTGTTAGCATCCCGGTCCTATTAGAAATAAATGGACCACCCAGTTTTTAGACAAGGAGTGGTGCTGAATGATTAATCTACCTGTCTGGGACAGACTCCAAATCAGAGAGCTGCAGAGACCCCGTTTGTTATCAGGAGAAGGAGTGCCTATAGTCTTTGAGTGGCACAGTCCTGGTGTCCAAGCGAGGATGAGCAACACTGACAACTGATTAAAATATCCAAACCAGGTACTTTGAAGAGGGCGGTTAGGAATGTCTTGTCTACTGACCAGTGACATTAGGCCAAGGAAATTGTTATGGGAAAAACATACAGGAGAATCAACAGTTTGTTTTACTGCTTTCCTTTCTGTCAAGACTGCTAAAGGTCTTTGCTACAGTACTGTCAGAAAACATTTTTTGCCTGGTCAGTTTAGGAACAGGAAGAATTTCCTGAGCAATCTCTTTGTGCTTGACTCAATGCCCACAAGCAAAGTGCATGAAAGACACACTTCAACTCAAAAGTTAAACTGAAGACCAAGATTTCATATGGTATCAATATTTAGCCCACCTTCAAACACACCTTACTGGGACTGTCCATTTGCTGAAGGCTTGATCTGTGTAAAAAAACCAGTAATGTCTCTCAGCAGCATCTCTTAGATGAACAGGATTGTACAGCTCAGCCTGTGGGCTCAGAGTGCTAAGCATTGCTGCTGAACACAGACTACTTTGGGTCAGAGTTGTGAGAAAAAAAATATGACATGAAAACAGCAAAAGGTAGCCTAGATATGGAACAGAAAGAAGACAAACTACACGTAGCTGACTAACATACATTGTTGTGATCTAGGGGAAGCACGTAGAGCATTTCCATCCTAACCCTTTTCTCCAAATATAAAAGTCAATCCTGTTGAGTGACTGAGGTAAGGAAAAATTTGCCATTTTGCTGGACAGAGTGGGGACAGGGGAATTATATTGGGGGTGCACCTACAATTCATATTTGTCACAGTAAAAGAACAAGAAGAAGATGAGCTATGCAGATCTCTCTGTCAAAGGAGGAAAATTCTGACTAGAAAAGGAGATTTTGAACCATTTTCAAGACGAATGAATTGAACAAGTGGATTCTGTGGCTCTGCAGGGCAGAGGAAAAGCAAAGATGAGCTACCAGGAGGGGTCCAACCCAAGGTGGAAGGAGGAACTAGGAAACCCAGTTCAGCGCCAGCTGAAAAAAGACAATACAAACACATGAGGAAGCCCAGGAGGACAAACCTGTAAGAAATGAGAACTTAGAGAAAAGATATAGGATTTTCAAAATGTTGGTTTAAAAACAGCCTATAATCCCATGCAGCTGACACTGCTGGTATCAAATAAACAACCAGACTCAGCCCACCATGTCCCCGATCATCACCAGAGGACCCAAAAGTAGGACTTCTCATTTTAGTGAATGTTGCTTCTGTTTCCCACTAGTGAAAAACACAGCCTGATTGCAAGGGTTCCTTTGCAAATGCTATCATTATTTTAAACCCTCTGGATCAAATTATGTTTGTACTCAAGTGAATACTGAGTAATAACGATTTACACTGGTCCTATAAGAAAGAGTAAAGGAAAAGGGGTTTAGCTATAACTCCTGAAGGTATTTTTTCTCACAACATCAGAGAAAAGCTATCGCTGCAAAAAAGATTTTAAAGGTTCTTGTAGCCACAATAGTAAAACTACTTCTCTACAGCATTCAAACCCTTCTGCTTTACTATTAAAGACAATACCACATAAATACAATTTAATCCAGGCATCTGAACGGCCTTCTGCAACATATGTGTGATCTTTCCAATTTTATACACAACAAATCTGATAAACAGAGATTATATAAAGAAAAATCATTGGAGCATTACAGCATGAGTATAGCACAGACTAGTTTCCTTCTTTTCAAGTAATCCCAACATATACAGCCAGAAGAGTCTAATAATTAGAAAAAAACTGACTTCTGTTAAGAAAAAGAAAACAATTCATGTTAAAAAACTTCCCTGACTTTAAGCATCCTTTACTTTGTTCTTAACAGTTTTAAATGCTTAAGATTCTAAAAGCTCTGTATTACAAAAAGAAACCAAATTTCTGCTTTATTTTGCCTTTTTTTTTTTAATATACTGCCACCATCTCTGTTCTCAATAGCCCTGTCAGCCCAAAAAACAGGAATAAAGAAGATAAGGAGGAACAGAAACAGAAATATTTGTTAGGATTAGGAGTAAAAACAAAATCTCAAAAGTATTTAGGACAGAATTGTCACAGATAAGCAAACTCTTGGATGCCCATCCCTCAGGGAGATGGGCATCAGGAGAAACAAAGTGTGCAGAAGTTGGTGCTAGGACCAGAAAACACAAGCCACAGAGCAGTGGATAGAGAAAATTTGTGAGAAAAGACCTGTAAAGACCTGTATTCACACTTGGAAAAGTGTGATGATTCAGATACTGACAGCCACTTGAAAGATAATCCTGAAGAGCGCTAGCTTTCTTGTGAAGGCATTCTGTCATAGTTTAAATTGGATTGCTTATTACTCTAAGCAGGCAGATAAGCCTGAGAAACACAGGAACGTACAAATGCATTTCTAAGTGGAATGTCCTGGAACATAAAAATGATTGAAGTAATAATCCTGTGCTCCTCTAAATAGCTATCATCTGTATTTCCTGCAAGACGAAATGCTGAAAGGACTGGGACACAGAGAGGCATGGCGCAATTCCAACAGGACAAGGAAGAATGTGCACAGAGGCGCTCTGCTAGCACAGACCACTGGAAAAACCTGGCACTGGGGAGGTAGTAGTCATCACGTACAGGCAGGAGTGGGCAAAATGAAGGCCACTTAGGTAGGGAAGTATCTGCAGTACAAAGCTATTTCACTAACCTTGCAAAGTTGCCATCACAATTATTCTCGCAGAGCAGCATTTTCTAGTAACTTGCTAGTTTATTTATAAAACATAATGGCTAAAGCCAAGTGATTCAGCATAAATAGTGAAAATCTCACAAACAGTTGGAACGAGACATGCAGGACAGGCACCAACAAGAGGCATAATACAGAGTCCAATGGCTACATGTGAGGGGGAGCATCAGGGAAGCAGGAATAGGTCCCTGAAGTCTTGTGTGGTGGCTTGCTAAGGAGAAACTCCACCTGGTCTTCCCTGGCTTTATTCAAGGAGCTGGAGAAACTACCACCACATTTCATGTCGGCCAGCAGTAAGGCATAGGATGGGCTTTGCACGTTGAGTCAATGTGCTGACTTAACAGAGTAAAGGGTATGAGATGAGAGTGTTGTCCCATCTGTTTGTAGCAGCCTGTGTGGCTGCATGGTTATTTCCAGGGCTTGCTGGAAACCCAGTGCTGGACTGCTCTGAGAGGCCACAAGCCTCCCCATGGCCCTTGCAGGGAGTCCAAACAAGGCTGGAAGGAAATCTCACTCAGTCCAAAGCCCAGAAGGTATGTGCAACTTCTTCACTGCAGAAAATTGCATTCATCTACTAAGGACGCGGAACTGTTGTGTGACAAATGTGGCCAATCTCAGTGCTTGGATTCAAGGTCTTAGAGACTGTACCACCACCGACATCAGGTGCCCTTGTGTCCTCACAGCACTCAGTATTCCCCAGATGATAGCTCTGAGCAATGTGGAAAAAGGTCATAAACTCTACGAGTCAGCCAACCAACAAGACAGGACAGTACACTTCTCTTTGGAAATGGGGTATTATGCAGTGCTCTCTGCTCTCACAGCATTGCCATCTGGTGAGTAAAGGCCAGGGTTTGCTCTAATTAGTTCTCTCCATCTGCACAAACCAGGACCTACAAAATGTCCTACAGACCCACTTCAAACTGAACATCTGCGTGGGCTGTGTCTAGAAATTAAAGCCTGAGAAAGGGGCCCCACTTGGTATTGTGAAAGAGAGGTTTTACCCATTAAACACTTTCAAATCTGAATTCCTCTGGGGCTTTGCTTACTTCCAGAGCAAGCCCATGAAGACAGAGAATTACACCAGTATGCTGACAGCAGATTCAAACCCCTGATTTACTACTCACTAGCTCAGAGCAGAAAAGCTAAAGTATCACTCGATTCCTCCTCCTCCTGGACAAATCTCTACCCTCTGGTATTTAAAAAAATGTATTTCACAGCTCCAAATAACAATTCTTTTTGGGACTAAGACGTAACGCCTTCCCCCAGTCCAACTCAGCCATTAGCGCGATGCAGTGGTCTCTGAGGTCTGCCGAGGACGGTGGGAGCAGGCGGCAGCTGTCCCTGCCGCCTGCCTCCCGCTGAGTTTCTCCTGCCTCATCCTACAGGAGCAGAGGACAGTGAGTCCCGCAGCCTGCAGGTGTCTCCCAGCGGAGGAGGCTGCAGAGCCCCTTGGGATCATGTGTGGTACCCGAGCAGATGTTCACTTGCTCTTGGTGCTCTTTGTGAGACAGACCCTCTCTGATCCTGTCAGAACGCTGAAGCACACCGACTGCAAGAGGATGGCCGCACTCCCGCGCCTGCAGCTGTTCCTTTAACGTACAAAGGCAGGATTTCAAGTGAAGAGAAGAATGGGAGTCTGGCTGCAGTGTTTCCTTCACTGCTACAACAACAGATTGGAAGAAGCTGAGAGTTTTGATGCCTGGAAAACTGGATTCTGAATCGTGAGAGGCTTTGAACCCCCTCCTCCCAAATAAAACAAAACCCTTTGACTTCTCTCAGCAGGAGGGGGAGGGAGGGCGGATTTACCATGAAGACAAATCGAAGATGCAGAGCCCTGCTAGCAGTGAGTCTGAATCTGATGGCTCTCCTCTTCTCTACAACAGCTTTTATCACGACCCACTGGTGTGAGGGCACACAGAGGGTCCCCAAGCCGAGCTGTGGGAAAGAGAAGAAGACAAACTGCCTCAACTACAGCGGGAATGAGACTGCAAATGAGACAAACCAGAATGTGGTTCATTACAGCTGGGAGACAGGAGATGACCGCTTCCTTTTCAGGTATTTCCACACTGGGATCTGGTACTCCTGCGAGGAAAATATCAATGCTGCTGGTAAGTATAAACCAACTTCCTTCCAGCTTGTGTTGCTTTGTGTTTGGCTCAGTGTGATAAACACACAGGCAAGCTGTTCTGTGCTGTATCTTAAAGCAGATTCGCCCTGCAGAGAGAGGCAGGATTTTAACAGTTCTTTGTTGAAAAGCAACCTGTTTCCAGCGAGAGCAAGGGTTTGCTTGTTTACCTGCTGGCTGATGCAGGATCTGTGCTCTAAAGCCAGCTGAACCTCTGATAAGCAATATGTGCTACCCTCATGGGCACTGCAGCCAGAGACGAGTCAGTTCTTCCCTTCTGGGAGCTGCTCCATGGAGCACACAAAAGACAGCAGCTAGTAGTTGTTAAGGAGGTTCTGACATCTAGTTGTAATTGCCCCTGAAATAACCGCTAGGACAGTGGTCTGAATGACAGGGATAGCACAAAGGTCACAGTTTTTATCAGGCTGTAGCCTAGACTTCCTCTTTTCTGGCATCCCCTAAGTAAATGACCACCCACACACCCTTCCTGGTGGCTGGATTGTATGTTTATTGAAGTAGAGAAATGGCAGTTAAAGGGCACAACTGGGCACAAGAAAGCTCATTTCTGTTCCCTGCTCAGCCATTTACTTGCTGAGAACCACTCACGAGGACATCTCTCCAGCTTATCAGTGCATTCATTTCCTCTGCTGTACCCTGGCACTTACCAAGAAATAAAACACTGGAGCGTGGATGGAAGGTAGCAGGCATGGGACTGACTTAAGTCTCAACAGATGCAAACTGACAGTCCCTTCTCCCAGAGCTGTCTGGTAGAGCTAACATCCAAACTGCTTTTGAAAGAGCTTTTTTCTAGATTATGTGACTGGAAGATAAAGTTTACAAATGTGACACAGTATAAGAGGAGCAATGATGGCTTGTGGATGCAGGTTCCAGCCTGCTGGGCTCTTTCCATGCTATCCTGGCATTGCCCATGCTATCCTGGCATTGCCCAAGGAGTAGACTAGGGAGTTGGTCCTTCACCACTGTTGGAAGAGAGGAACAACAGACAGGTTGTCTCTGAGGACACAACCTCCCCAAAAATGGGATATTTATGGGGTCTTGGTAAAACTGCTCTGTAAGAATGTGCTATAAATTGGGGCAAATTGTAGAACAGCTCAGTCCGTTTCATCCCAAGGTGCTGTGTATACTCATTGGTATTTTTGAGGATAGTACTTCAAGAACTAGTTGGTCATTAAAATTCAGTTTAATGTATGAAAAGGAAAGTTCATGAACTCCAGCCTTGGGACTGTCAATAAACAGCTCCATGCTGAAATGAGTGCACCTAAGTAACCCTCTTGACGTTAGAAAAAAAGTATAGAAAAAAGATGATTTGTCTAACTGATTTGGAAATAAACCTAGGCCACAGCAGCCTGACTGAGCAGCTTAAGACTCTATGACTTTTTGAGCATCTTGGCTGGGATTGGGACAATCAAGCATGCCCACATTTCTGGCAGATATTGAAAGCTTTCCAAGCCAAGATTTATGTGTGAGATAACTTGTAACTCTGTGACTCTAGCCCACTCAGAAAACTGAGTTATCTGTGGGAGAAGAGAAATACAGTGATCTATTCTGTACTGGGTAAACAAAGCTGTGCAGTAGTGGGTGATTTCAGGAGATAGCTGGCAGCCAGCTTTAGAAAGTTGTGGTGAAAGCAGGAGAGAGGGGATTGTTTCTCGCCTCCCCACACCGCCACAGCAGCCACATGGGTGTTTCCTCTATTTGAAACACTAGCTTGGTGAAAAGTACTCTTCAGTTAGCAGACCAGGAGTGACCAACTTCAGAAAGAATCCAGCCAGGTACAGGGATATATTGGCTTAGACAGACAGCTGCCTCATTCAGGATTTACCATTTTTTTCTGGTAAGGACAGGAATGGTGTAATGGACATGGGTCTAAATTTGTTTCTGAGAGTGTCAACATAAAATACCCATGAAAGGTCTTCATTCAGACTTACTGGTTTGTAATACCAGACTGTCAGTACATTGTCATGGCCTTTTGCAGCCTGACTGGTGATCATTTTTTCTGAGCTCCAGGGCAGCAAGGCACCAGCCAGCCCCAATCCAGCAGCACTGTGATCATGCTGATACATACACCCACAACACTCAGTATATCTGTGAGTAATCCATCCCTTAGGCTCATCACACTGTCCACAACACACTTACTGACCACAGTCCTGTAGGTATCACAAGTCATACAGTCACCGTGTTGTTAATAAACACCCTAGGATGCCAGGAGAACGTCAAGAAAATACCACTAAGCACACAGACAGTAGTGTATTAAATTAGTCAAAAGCACTAGCTTGAATGCACTCCATACTTTCAGTAACACCTTTCTTAAAGCTTTGCCAATAGCATACTGAAGATGACTGCAACAACCTTCCTCCAGGCAAAGTCCTTTCAGTAGCCACTCCATTGCCTCACACCTCTGTCACAGAACATATGGCCACAGCCTCTGGTCAGTGCTATTCCTATAGCTCCTGACCTGTCCCTGATTCCTCACTGCCAACATCTGAAGCTAAGCAACATGAATCCCACCAGCAACACATGAATGTCGGTAACACTCTCTGTGATTGTGATGCTGTCAAAACTCTCCAGAGACTCCTAACATTCCCAGCTGTGAACCACATTCTTCATCTTGTCACTAGGCTTTTAATTTCTCTCTCCCTACAGTCACAGTACTGTCAAAACTTTCTGCTCTCTGCAGTGGTGCAGCTGCAACACAACAGTGCAGGCACAACAAGACCAGTTTCCAGAAGGTTGATACTGCAAGGGACAGGATTGCAGGGCTTCCAGTTGGCTGGAGGGGCTGGGACTCAGTCACGCCTTAAAATGACATTTAGGTTGCAATCAAACAAAATTTTTTAGTGTCTTCTCCTCCCACTGTGTATCTGAAATGCCTATTCAGATTCCAGAGGTAGAGGTGCAAAAAACATGCCACACTCTCTGTACAGAGATCAGTGAAGCGGGCCTTCATCTTGTTGCAGGTTTCTAGGTTTCACTGACATCTCTAACAGAGATTGAATGCTGTGATTATTTCTGAAATAATTTATGAATCTAGAGTTTATTTTTATCCAGCGTGTCTAGGATGGCTAAAGAATCCGAAAAGCATTTAGCACCTGAAAAATATAGTTGTGAATCCCCTCTGGGAACAGAGGGACTTGAGCATACACATTTCATTGGTGGGTGAGTCCTGTCACTATTTAGCACAATTTCTGACTCAAAAGCATGCTGAATCCCAGTCTACCAAAGAGAGGATGAAGGCTCTCTTTTTCAGAGTGGGTTCAATGCTTTGAATCCCACATGGGTGGAGGTACCTTCTGTAAGAGCAATGCACCTACTGTCCAGAAGGGGATGGAGCTAAAGCACAGCCTATGAGTTCTGTACTCGTGCTGGTCATGAGTCCTGTTCTGCACTCACACACTGCCCAGAGCACTTGGTGCCTCCTCCTGGGCCATGAATTCCTTGGCTATGGCCAGGCATCTCAGAGCCAAGCTCTCTATCATTTCATTTCTTTTTGAATATGACTTTGAGTGCATATCTTATTTCACACCTGCAGTCTAGGTCTGTGCTTGTGTCAGTACCGGACACCTCACAAGATACCAGACAAGTGATGTGCTAATAGCAGCAGTGGTAAACTAGTTGGTAGATTCCGCGACTCAAGAACATACGTGCCATGAAAAAATTAACACATGAAGCAGGCAAGGTGGCATACCTTATCCTAACAGGTAGAGCAGTTTGAGAGCTGGGAAGCAATAACAAGTTAGCCAATTTTGCTCAATAGTGTGTTTGCTTTGATTTTAATAGAAAAAACCTTGAACTCAGATCTTGTTTTATTTGCTAATGAACAGACAATCTCAGTAATAACATCCACGTTCAGAGGGAAAAGCATCCACCTAGGTGCCTTTTAGGAGTACTATCCCATTAAATAAACAACAAGCCTTTCCATGTTGCTCACCATGGTCCACAGAAGTCAGGGAGATCAGGAACAGGTATGCATAGGCTTGTTTTGTATTCTTGGAATTATATTTTGAGGACAAAGGTTCTGTAGCTCTTTGTATGCTCTATACCACGTATTTCTTAGCACTCTTTAAGGAGTAAATGGTAGAGTGGAACTTACATGGTATGTAAGGATGCATCAAAACGGGCCATAAATATGAACATTAAATGCACATTTGAGAAGGAGCCAGAGAATGAGAGGTGCATCCTGCAGAAATGAATAAATCTGTAACATATAAAGACATGAACTTGCCATGCACTTTCACATATCCAGAGCAGCACCGCATCACCCTTCTCCCCCGCCACCGTGTGATCGCATATGTGATTCACTGTAGGCAGCTGTCCAGAGAGAGGGACTGGGGGGAAGCACCTTGTGAGTATATAATTAAAAGCAAGAGGAATTGGGAATTCTTGTTGGACTATGAGAAATATAATATAAATTGGCATGACTGAAAACTGGTGGGTTTATTGCTAGTAATAAATTGCTAGTTATAAATTGTTTAGGAAGGAGAGAGTGGTAAAAGAAATTGAGGAGGTAGAGCTCCATATTAAAGATAAAATTTCCAGTGATATAGAGGAACTGAACCCAGGGGACCTGGATAATCTCCACCTGAGGATGTTGAAATAATTGGCACATGAAAATGCAGGTTTAGTAGCAAGAATCTGCACATTGCTGTATTCAAAGAAGACTGGAAAAAAATTACACAGGTCATTTGACCCAGCAGTCTTAGGACAGCTTTCAGGGAAAGCACGCAATACATGGCAACAAGTGGATCTTATCAAACGTAGGGTTTTGTTAAAGGTAAATCTTTTAACAAAATTAATCACTTCTAAGACAAGGGTAATGCATTAGACCCAGTCTCTATGGATTTACAAAAAACCGTGATGGAATGTCCCACTGAAAATTCTTTACAGAAGAACTACAGAGAGTGGAGAGAATCATAATGATGTAGTGATAGATGTAGATGTGCTTCCACACTGGGGAACGCCAAA